CGATCCCGCAGCCATCATCGTCGGCTACCAGACCGTCCTGTTGATGCGGTTCCCGTGGTCCGCCGTCATGCTCACACACCTAAGTATCCACCGGCAGTCAAAGCCATGCCAGCTTGCAGACCATCCGGTCTGTCCTATGAACGGTGACGGAACAACAGCGACAAAAGTACCTCAGCGTTTGCTTCGTTCATGCTTGCATGCACCGTGTCTCTGTCATGCCGCAGCATTATCGCTTTGCAGCTTTGCGTGAGTTGCCCTTGTGGTTTGATTGGTTGCCATGCAGTTGTCAGCTGAGTTTGTGAACAACCTGGTGGCTGTGCTCAATGTTCTTGCATCCCAAGTTGCGACAGCTTTGGACACACTGAACTTTGCCTTGATGACGGAGCGTGGTCGTCCGACAGACACGGTGGTGACCCCGAGAGCACCAAGAAACTCCAGACATGGGTTGCGGCCCCGCATCATCACGGAGCTCGCCTCCTCTGACCGATCTCGATCCCCCACACGCATTCGGGCTCGACCGGTGGACACGTCATCTACCTGGTACATACCGGCTTTGTCCCCGCCTCGAGCCGCACATCGTGATGCTAGTGAACACAATTCTGGTACTCGGCCCGAATCGGTGTTAGATCGACTGCCACCGCCTCGTCCTCGTGCTCCTTTCGCGGCACACGGTGGACGAGAACCAGGACAGACGACGCCCACGACACCTGATTCGGATTCTGATGGTTCGATACATCCGCATCCAGGTGCCTCGTCGTTCCGGCCGTCGCCGACGGTGGTTCATGGGCCTCGGGAACTTCTACAAGAATTTACCATTGCACTTCGCAATGCATACCGTGAACCTTTCACGGCATGGACACAGGGCGAGCTGGATGAAATGGTGAGACGGAAGAAAGATAAGGATTCCAGACCCACCTATAAGACCATTGCGCGGTTTCTTCAGAAGCCGATTGAGGAAGTTAAGCAGGCATGGAAGGTCTATCAACAACTTGAGGCTCGCGGCTAGGAACAAGCCCGGCAAATGCAGCAGCGATCATTGATGGACCAAATGATAAGCGGCGGCGGTGTGTCTAGTTTGAGTTGTTGATCACATGATACTTGCTTGCTTGCACGTGACTCAATCTTGCTTGTCGTGTTGCGTGATGTCGTTGACATGCAGTGATGTCTTTCCTGAGTTGCTCAAATCATGTCAGAGCAAGTTGTACAGACGTACATTACCTGGACCCATGGAGCGCAGCCGACGTGGTTACAATTTCATGGACCCGGGGCTCTACTCGACAGACCCATTCGGCTGACTACGTCGCCTCCGCCCCCGCCAAGTTTGCCACTGCTTCTTCCACCTCCTCCTCCACCACCACCACCACCACCGGTGATTCTACACCCCCAGTTTATGCCCTCGGTACGCAGCCCCTCGATCTCAGCCCCTCGCGGACAATTTTGCCCTACCTCTTTGAAATCGCAGCGCACACGCCGCTCGATCTACAGCACTGACCCTTCCCGTGATGAAGTACCACGCAGTCCAGGGCGCTCGTCCAAAAGATCTCGGACAGCATCAGCTTCAGCGCCGCGGCGATCTCGACGGCCCTTTACAGTGTTTTATTCTGGCCGTTCATCGCGATCCCCATCGGCAACATGCAAACATTACTGCCACGCCATCCTGCGCCATGGACGGAAATGTCTTTCCCCTTGTGCACGTAGACGACCAGGTCACTATCATTGCAGGTGTGCGCGACATCAAAGACAGTGAAAGCCAGGTGTCAGACATTTCAGACCTCGTTGACCCGTTTCACCTTGTGTTTGAAAAGTTGCCTCGCTCCTCAGTGGATGTGTCCGGTTGGCAATGCATGTGCGTCCTTGCCGCAGATTTTCGATTGGTTTAGCAGTCGTGCAAGCCCGTATTGCTGCTATGAACCCCCAGTATTTCGAGTACCAGATCGATAGAGGAGTGGAATGGATTCGAATTTACTCTCCGGGCATTTGGAGGCCCGTTCCTGAGGAGGCGCCAGTTCCGGACCCACTTTACGCTTCCACATTTCGGGAGTGGCGCAGATCATATCACTTCCAAGTGTACTGGTCTGAAGACAGCACCGGAGGCACCACAATGGATCCTATTGCCACGCCCAGTTCCTATGTGTCCTATCACGTGTGGGAGTACCGAGACTGGCAAACGCGAGGGTACCAACGACTTGGACCTCCTGTCCAATCCATCGGCCTCGCGATGCTCGCCAACGCAGACATCGAGTCCTCGGTGAGCTCGTCGGTACCTGATGGAATGGTCCTTGGAATAATTCGGATTGACACTTGAGTAGCATGTTGGATAAAGATGAGGTTGTGCGTGCTTTGTATGTGAGTTCTCATTGGGTTGTCTTGCTTGGTGCTGTGCATGTTGTCTCCATGTGTCCGCCGCTCTCTGTGATAACTTTGAGCAGCTTGTCGGGTTGAAATGTTCAATAGTACGGTGCAGGGTGCAGCACGATGGGTCCTACCTCGCTATTTTGACTATGACATCGTCAATGGACCAGCAGGAACGAGGGTGGAATGGATTCGAATCTATGTGCCGGGTCAGTGGCATCCAGTAGCCCCTGACACCCTGGGACCGGCCCCGGATGACCCGACCGCCTATCGGGAATGGCGCAAGGTCTACCACTTCGAAGTGTACTGGCCCAGGGAAAGCACTGGCGGCACAACTATAGGCACGGCTCTGCAACCGGTATCCCACGCCACTTTCTACACTTGGTATTACAGGGACTGGGTCACCAGGGGGTACCAACGCCTGGGTCGTCCACATCCCAGCATAGCGAGGCCAGTTTTCGCTTCGGGTGCACCGGACCTCATGTATGCTGGAATGACCTCCTCTTCGGCATCATCTAATTCACATGATAGCTGATGCCCGTCCTCGCCTCCCTGGAGAGTCTGACTGTGATGTTGGCGCCGCACAGTGCTACAAAAGTGGTCTTTTGCGTTTTGATAGTTGATTTGCTTTCACTCGTGGTTGTCTGCAGCCGTACACCTATCAACTTGACTTTCCGTGGTTGCGTTGTCATGCCGTGGCTGGAATGGTGCCCGGACCCTCAACAACCTGATGCCCAGTGGGTCAAGATCTTTCATCCGGGACCATGGACGCCTCAAGAAGAACATGATGCTCCACCTCCTCCGCATACTTTCAGAGAATGGCGGGAGTTCTATGCTCCCAACCAGGACTCAGTCGAAGGGCAAGTCCAAGTCACTACGTGGTACAAGCGAGACTGGGCCACGGAGGGCTATCGGAGAATCGCTGCTCCTCACGCTGGTCATGAATTTGATTCCATGTATCCCTCCGATCACCATAACGTGGCCACGCAGTCCGCGGCATTGAGTATGTCGCCGGAGCTGTTAGACGCGATTCTCAGGTCCTCGGATGCGGCTGATTTCTCCACTGAAGAACTGATTCGTCTCCAGGAGGGGATTTCTCAACAGCTGACGGCCCGCGCACGTCTGACCTCCCATCCTCATCAACCAGTACGTGCATCGCGTGGCAACACACCATTGGAGACGATTGGGGTCTCCGACCCCTACACGCCCGTGAATCCGTCCGGCAGCGGCCAAGACAAGATGAGGCCCGTCTTCGAGCTCACTGAAGACTAGCCTTGCATGAGCAGCGCAGCGTACAAAATAAGGGTGGCCTCTACACTTGCATGTTCTTGCTTTGCTGTTGTTTGAACATGGTTGTGCATGGTGCTTGTTCACCTACTAGCTGGATCGGAGCCCGCGACCATCCTTGCCTCTTGCCTCGACATGGACATCGATGATTCCAAGCAGTATCCATGGCTCGAATATTCGGTCTGGCATGATCAGGAGTGGGTGCGGATTTACACTCCGGGACAACCTCAACGATGGCACCGTGGTGACGCCGTACCTGATCTACCTGAAAACTCTTTTCGTGAATGGCAGCGGGTGACGGATCCCGAAGCGCCAGTCCAGGCATGGGACATCCGTGACTGGCAACACCAAGGGTACCAGCGCATTCTGTCTCGGATTGAGTCCTTCGCAACTCACTATTCACATGATCAGACTCTTGGTCAAGGTCGGAACTCCGATGCCGTTCAAGTTGAGGAGACCTTCACCTATGCCACTCCGTTTTCTCATGGTGATCGCCCGGCTGCTTCGCAGATCGCTTCAGTCCTCTATGGCGACACTCGCAATGCTCAACGTTGTGATCTTTCGTTCCCGTCTTCTGAGCGGTTTAGGGCAGTGTCTCGCTCCCCTCGCCGTGGTGGATATTTTGGTCAACGATAGTGATTTGAGTTTGAGCATGTGATCTTCCTGCAGGAGAAAAGAGAAACCTCGCCCCTCGTAGAGGGGCGTGTGTGTGCGGAGTGACAGAATGCCCTGTCACCACCCTTTCGGTTTCGCAGCAGGGGCGTGCAGCACCTTTGGCATACTGCACGCAATGAAGCTGTTGCCAAAGGTGGGAAGGGTGTCCAGACGTGGACACCTGTACCTGCTTCAGTGATTCTGAAAGTCCTTTTGGCCCCTTGGTTGCGGCGCTGTTTGTGCTTCTTGTTCTTTCTGGTAACGTTTTCGACACTAGAGGGAAGCCGAATACATTGCGAGCCGAAACTCATCATACTCGAGACTTGTCGGTTGTACTCGAGACTCATCAGTTGTACTCGAAAGATTAGCACTCTCCATCTGGAGTTCAAGTGTGTGTGTGTGTGTGTGTGTGTGTCTGGTTCTGTGTTTGTTGCTGTCTGTGTGGCTGTGGCTGTGGCTCTGTCTGCATCTGTTTCCGTGTTCGTGCTCTGTGTTTGTGTTTGTGTCGTTGTCTGTCTGTGTCCGTTTTTTTTTTCTCCTTTTTTTTTTTGTGTGTGTGTGTGTGTGTGTGTGTGCGTGTGTGCGTGTGTGCGTGCGTGCGTGTGTGGGTGACGCCTGGTATTGGGAATAGCGGGCAGCTTTCTTGAGCTTCACACGGGTATCGTTTTTGGCGGTTGGGAGGGTTTTTTGAAACAGTCCCGGGTCAGGACATGAGCATGACCACGGACTTCAGCACGGGCCCGCCCCCGTCCTATGAGGCTGGCGGTAAAATGGCCGTCCCTCGTCATGGCCAAGCAGCCAAGGGGTTTGTCACCACACCCGGATTCGGCAACCCCAAAATCTGGTATTCTTTTGGTTTCTCTCTAAATCAACCTCAAAAAGGAAAAGACAGACCCAAATAGGGTTTCCGTTGGTTTCCCGTTTTGGGGGCCGGCGATCGAAATCCCAATGCCAAATCGGGAGTTCGGAGCCGCGGAAGCGCATGGATCAGGATGTGCAAGGCTGAGGTCACTCTTTGCCTATCGAGTACGTCTCTTGCAAAGGGCCTTTGATTTCCAGTGAACCCACCCCCTTTCTTCATCCCTTCCGGGGTTTCATTTTGGACGGCTTTCCCTGGGCTTCACAGCGGGCGGTGTCGGTTTCTCGTTCTGCCAGGTGCCGGACCACTTCAGCGCGGAGGAGGAGGATGCGGAGGCGTCGGGCCACGGGGCCAGAGCAGTGCCCAGATCAGTTCCCGGATGAGCAGGTGGTTTCATTTGGGGGTGGCTCAACGTTAAACAGGAGGGGTTAAGCAGGTTTTGGTGCATGTGTCCACTTACCAGGTTTCCATTTTGGCACCGGTTTTTTGAGCCACAGCCATTTGGGCCGTGGCAAGGATGATATAATGTTGAGTCCAGATGAATAAACCCCTGTTTGTATGGGGGTGTCCTCGGTTTTAGTGGTGATTCATCACTTTTGGAGAGGACCCCCCCCACATGAATAAACAAGGGTTTAGTAATCCGGGGTCAACATTAAACCTTTACACCCCTCTTACTAGAACCAACAGTTGGGCTAGAGCAAGGACTACAGCTGTAGAGGGTACCCAAGACAATGGGTCTACAACGAACGATACAAGCTCTACAAACAGTGGGGCTGCAACAAAAACCTGTATGACCATAGTAGGCCCAGCATTTTATGGGTTTTGTGCGCTGCTCAGAAGGTGGCAAGAGCTAATCCTCCCACATGAAGCATGGGAAGAAATTAGCCCCAAGCCCAAGTTGCCCCACCCAAAAACATGGACGTGCACAGATCCTGACTGCTTTGCGCTCTGGAAAGGTTTGGGCCTATGTGGGGCTTTCTTGGTAGGGGGAAGCTGGGCCTGGCAATCGACATTGCCACTGATTTTACTTGGGGTATCAGCGATGAGGGTAGACCCTCATCGGTTTCTGGTGATGTTTCCCAGCAAAACCCGTTGGGGTAGAGCATGCGTGTGGTTCTCTTGGTTTTCCCTTGGCCGGGGACGCACCAGTTTCCCTAATTAGGGACTTCAGAGCAACCTTGACAGTGCAATGTTCCCATAACTTGAGGATCTATATCCCAGGGGCACGATATTGGCACTCGATTGTTCAGTTTGCCTGTATTTGTTCATGTGGCTTGATCACCCAGTGCTGTTGTGTCACCTGTGACAAGTTACCAGTGTCCTTCGCAGCTGCTCCTTCCCCGCATTCTCCCTCCCGCACTTTCTCGTTTGTTTGGCAAACACGTGTTGTCGTTTTTCAACCTCCCCTATTGTTCTCATGTTTTTTGCACCCGCTGTCATTTTGCGCCTTTTTTGCAAGACTCCCATTCGTTCAATTTTTCCACTGGTTTTTCAGATCCACGGTTTCAAGCTTCTCGGTTTTTCCAGCCCCCCACACCTCCACCTAAGCTCCCATATTTTGTTTTGCATTTAGTTTATAGGGTCCTTTAGCGGATACACTTGGGCCGGTCGACAAATCATTCACCGGCTGAGCAAGAGGGTCCCCGATGCATCCTTCAAGGAACCCTGTGTTGCAGCCCTCCCTCGCCGTTTTCCTTCACCCCTCATGTTGCCTCGTCAAAAGGCCCAACCTGCAGACTGCGGACCCCGATCCCTTCCACACGCCGAGTGAGCTGACGGCGAAGCTTCGGGCTCGAGCACACGTCCACCCTGACCCCACGGAAGAATTGGCGGCGGTGGCCGATCCGGGGATCGCGGCCGAGCGCAACTTTGATTGTCAAAGACCACACCATTTGCGTCACTTCCAACACCGTCACCATTTGCGTCACTTCCAACACCGTCGCGGCGGCCTCTGCTGTCTCGACTTCTTTGTTCCCGCGTGTCAGGCCATTGGATGCTCACGGTGGATGCTGGATGCAGCTACCCAGCAGTTTTGACTTGTTGCGGCGGCATCGGGTAGGCAGCGGTCTTCATGTGATGGGGTAGAGTTTCGGTGTTGGCTCTTCACACGGTCGAAGTGATGGCTTGGTTGCGTAGTTTCCTCGGGGGGTGCTCCTGAGTCGATCAACAAGTAGATGCGCAAGCTGCCAGAGGCGCTTTGCTGTCTATAGGTGTAAAAGGTTTCCCTGACCAACCAGAAGGCCAGTTTGAGGATGTTGTTTTCCTGAACCCAGTTTCTCAGGGTTTCTGAGCCACTCCCTTTGCGGTCCTCCATTTCGTGGCGATCGTTTCAATTTGGACGCCACCACTTCTTTGATCAGCCGATTTGGCAAATCCTGGACACCACAGGTAAATTGAATCAAATCCAGCGACTCCCTGTTTCTCGTAGCTTTTTGCACCCCTTCTTTTTTTTCTTCTAATATATATATATATATATATACACCTTTTTTGTTCAACCTGAGAATAACAAATATGTTGTGTGTGTGTGTGTGTTTTTCTTAATAATAAAATGCTCCCCCCCCCCCCTCTGGAAAATCGGGCCAGGCCGTGCGCATGCTGGCTGAGAGGTTGGCCAGGGAGGAGAGCGCAGAGGACCTGAGCATGGCGCTAGAAAACGGTGATGTGACGAAGCCTTGTCTGGAACCACCCAGTTGGCTGTGGTTGTCAAAACCGTTTTGGGATCCCATTTTGGGGTAGGTGAATTCACCACCCATTTTAGTCTACTATTGTAGTGCGGATTGGGATGTTTACTGGGGGTTTGGGATTTTGACCCGTGGCCATTTGGGTACAGAAAAAGGTACACCATAGGCTACCCTCCCTTCCACTAACATGGCACCTGATACAGGATCCCTGAAAGAGGAAAGTGATGTGATCTTCCAGGTACCCTCCCACAAATGCCATGTTAGCGGGAGGAAGGGTCACTTTCCCGGAAAGAAAGGACACTTTCTGTAATCATAGGATATGAAAAGAGTGCTAAGCTACTAAAAGAGTCCCAAACAAGAGTACCTACCGGGGGAAAACAGGTGAAATCCAACAAAGGGCGCATCTGAACCCGTTTTCCAGAACAAAGCAAACCAACACCCTGAAACTTCATCGACCTGCCTATTGTTAGCCACGGAGCGTCCTTGGCCGACTGCGGGGGGGGGGGGGTTCCCTGTTTAGTGGGAACTCTTCACTTTTGTGGGTGAGGTGGTAGGATGCTAGCAGGATGGGTTTGTTAATCCGCGGTAGCAATGCCTAGTTGGTGCGTTGCAACCAAAGGGTTCTTAAAACACATTCGCACACATTTGCGAAGCAAGAGCGGGCGAGTTGGTGAATCCATTGGCTTTTGGTGGAATTTCATAAGCGCTACCATTTGCCTGTGGTTCCCAATCGGATTGGTTAAACAGGGCTCCTTAAAAGATACATTTTGCCCATTTGAGACATGGCTTTTTCCACTAAAATAAAGGGAAACCACCATTTACAAGGCAATGTTCAGGTGCATAATGTAAGGATCCCTGCTAAAGGACGCCGCAGGGCCTTCCGCGTTTTCGGTTTTTAGTGGTGCTTTGTCGGTGGGTTTGTGACACGTGATGGGCAAACTCCAGGCACTTGGGATGGATAAAACCCAGTGGGTCTAAACCGCTTTTGTCCATCCATACTACTGTTGACTCCTGATTACCGTCCCACATTTTTTTCATGGAACCTAACAGGGGGTCCCTTTAAAAGGAACATGGTCCAAACCAGGACCCCCCGAACGTCAGGTTCCATTCTAATTGGTGGGAGAGCAACAACCCACTCAGCTACGGATTAGGAGAGCACCTTTTCAAGTGGGGATTCCTTTGTTTCAGGGGGGCCCCCTGCTTACTAATTGGGGGGTTATTAATCAGAGGTCAACATTCCTGCGCGGTGTTATGTGCAACTTTGCAGATAGATCGGGTCATTCGCAACTCTCCAAACTGATCCGGATTCCTTTTCCAAACTGCAATCTCAGGCAGGGTTCTGGAGATGAATAGACAGACTATTCCCAGATGCATCTGCCCAGCGCATTTTGCAACTCCAACAGAAGGGCCCAGAACCTTCCAACATACCCATGTCAAATGGCTGGGTACCAACAATGCTGCCGACATCGACTGGCCAGTTGCCACTGCCTTGGGGCAGCTTTCTGGGCGGTTTGTGGACGGGCCGGAAGAAACGCCCAGGCATCTTCAAGGCCAAGTCATGAATCCAGTGTCGAAGAACTACACTTCACCACCCGGTTTTACTTGCTGGTTCTCAATATTTTTTGGAGGCGTTTGGGGAATGCACATGCGCATTTATTGGGACGCCAGAGGGGTGTAGGGGTCATTCCGACTCATTTTCTGAGAGCAGGTTGAAAGAAGCCCGAAGTAATGTTGGCCCCCCAGGTCTTGATGGGTGTTTCTCAAGTCTCTCAAATTAGGGACCAATTCTTTAGGTGGTTGGCTTCCGTTTCCCCAAAAAAAAACATGCAAAAAGAAAACCCTCTATTCTGAGACAGACCCCCCCTTGGTTTGGCAAATTTGGTTCAAAGATCTGCAGCCCTGCCATTTTGGCGAAGGGGGATTGGAACCGATCCACCGATCCGAGCCACAATTTTCGTCTCCAAGCCTTTGGGCGAGGGAAGTCGCCAGGAGATCCTCGACCGCACCTGGGATTGACGGGAAAATCGAATCGACGCGAACATCGCGGAGAAAAAGAAGAGGCGACCGCCAGCGCTGTCCGAGGGACGAGCGCTCAGAGGAGCCTAAGACCTAAATGGCTGTGGTTGTCAAAACCGTGTTGGAACCATTTTGGGGTGGGTGCACCACCCATTTTAGAACCTATTTCAGTGGGGATTGGGATGTTCACTGGGGGGTACGGGATTTTGACTCATGGCCAAATCAGCAGAATGGGGTTGCGGGGTACCTACCCTAACCACATTTAGTCATGACCAAAGGAGCAAACGATTAGTAATTATGTTGCCACTTGCATACCATGTGTGTTTCTTGTCTTGAGGGTATCGCTAGGGGGTTGCTTTAACAGAAAGCCCGAAGGAAACCACACATATTTGCGTCTCACGGATCTTGACACGTATGATCATATTCAAATGGGTACACCACCGGCCAAACTTTCACATGGAGCCACGGTGTGACACGAAAGGAGCTTCCTCTACAAATGAGGGGCTACTGTGGATCAAACTCCTGCAGTCGGGATGGAGGAAACCCAACTGGGTGCACCGCCTACCAACTGGTGCAGGGGTTTGTCCGTCCACAACAAGGCTTGCGAGTTGGCAAGGAGGTCAGTCCCGGCTCCAGTTGTTTGCTTCGAACACCATGAGGGTTTAGCCGTCCGCGGTATTGTTTTGGTTTTTCTTCTGGGTGGCGACATTTCTTGGCGTTTTACCCCGCCCCCCCCATACTTTTTGGATTTTGTATCGATTGCGACCAAAAGGGGGTTGTAACCTAGCGAACACTGGCCCCATTTTCCTACCAGTATCAAAGTCACCCCACAAGTGGTAGGCTAAAGGGAAACTAGAAATGGTCAAAAGAATGATCCCAGTAGTATCGACCTCTGATTGACGCTTGTTCAGGGAGGGTCCCCTTTCCTGCTGGGAATTCCTTGCTTTCACGGGGGTCCCCGGAGGGGGGGGGGGTTCGAAGCGCTGCCAGCAGGAAGTGCTACCGGACATTTGCCATGAAGGTGCGCAAAGTTCAGATCCAACCACTTGGGACCTTGCTTGATTCGCGCTTTGTTTGTGGTCAGGGGGCGCCAGATTTGCCGAGTCTCCAGAAAATTTCCTGCAGGCTTCTTGGACTGAGCGCAACAAGACCGAACCGATTCCGATTGGCTTGACTGTCCAGCGCGACCGGCAGGCCTTTGGCTGAGACAGCATTGAGCAGAAGCAATTATCAGATCCAGCTCCCTCTGCATTTCGCTCATTTTTGGCCAGCGAAAGTGCCATGAAGTCCTCCCATCAGTCCCATGGCTCACAGGAAATTGAAGCTGACGCCCTAACGATTGCGCTCGCTCTCAGAGCTCTGACGCTCGCCATGTGACACGATTTGACGCTCGAGGGCTCCAGTGATGAACCTGGATCCCATGCATTTTGAGGATCCGAATCTGCTCAACAGGCCTCAACAGTCTAGGCAGTGGAACCTCACAGCAGATCTTGAAGGGGGACCACCCAGTCCTCCGGAGTAACCCAGTTGCCCAGTGGTGCCCTTTTTTCATTTTTTTGGGGAAGGCTTCCCTTTAAACTCAACCTTTTTTTCCCCTGGCCACTGGGCAGCTGAGTTCTCCGAGGTTAAACTTATCATGTCAGATGGCACCCTTTCAGCAAGCGAGGTGTCTTAGAAGTTGGGAGTTCATCCCGAAAGCTTTCCCCGTGATTTCTATCCGGCGTATGGGAATCATCCAAGAAAGCGCCCTTCCAAATCTAACCATTCAGGCCATAACTCTACACTAGTAGCTCAGGATCTTACCCCAAACCGCCAGACCCATCCTAAACCCACCCCAACCCCATGCAGAATCCCAGAATCGGTGCCAGCAATATGCCGCGCGAGCGATGCTGGTCTTCTTGTGGGTCCTGCAGGCCGAATCCGAATCGCGGACGGATGCGGGTGTGTACTTGGGTGTTCGGCCAAGTTAGTAAGTTGGTAACCTACGTTATAACCCACTTGTCAGTCTCCCTCAGCGGGGTTCATCTTGTTATTGGGGGGCTATAGCCCAAGCAGCTCAAAACGATCCCGTTCAGGGGGCTAGAGACATGGCATGGGAAGACGTATTGCGGGGCGACCCTCTGTTGCCAGACTCCTTTCACCGGAAAAAAAAGCAGAGGCGCCGGTTCTCCTTCGTTTCCCCCCAACTCTAAAAGAGGGACGCCCTTTTTTCTTTTTGCGGGGGGAATGCAACGCGCAGGTGGGAGCGTTTCCACCCGGCGGCTCGGGGCCCAGCCGGATCGGTGGAAAAATGAATTCCGGCGTTATAGCAAGGGGTATTCTTTTTTGGAGCCTCCAAAAATGGCAGTTTTTTTAGGAGCCACCAGCCTTTACCATCTTGGCAGAACCCAAAGTCAACGGGTTTTGGGCGCTGCTCAATCACGGTTTCCCCAAAATGCTTGGCTTCCTTTTTTGGAGAAGGAGGTCCACCATGTTGAGAAGCTCCGAATATACGGGGGGGGGCACCTCTTTGGTTGGACCTTCCATTTTTTTCAAGGCCACATGGAGATTTTGATTTCCGCCAATTCCCAACCCGCACAAGTCCACCAGCCAACCGCCAGTTTGCAATGCTTCACTTCTTGTAGTGGTTGGGTTTGTTTAAACACAGTCCCTTAGTCCGGGACCATACTTTCTCGGGTTCCTCGTGAGGGCAATCAATACATAGGGGAGTGCCTTCAAACCTTCTGAACATGGCTATGAACCACCTCAAAAGTGGAGTGGCAACAGTGGTTTGCCGGTCCCCAACTAAACTAGATACCCACAATATAGTTCCTGGAGTTCCAAACCACCCTAGCAGGCGTTTTCACTTTTTGAGGCGCTCAGGTCGGCCAATGAACTTTGGGGCTCTTTGGTATCCAATATCTACATTGCAGGTTCGCCTCCTAGGGTCTCCTCCGTTTTTTTTTTTTTTGTCCTCTCTTTTTTTTTTCTTCCGCACATATATTTTAGGGTAGGCTAAAGGGGGGGTGTCTTTTTCTGAGGGTACCCTGTCTTGTGGAACCCTGAACTAAGGGTGACCTGAAGTTCCCTGACCGGCCCGCGCTGAGACCATTGTGCCTTCACCAGCGAGGAAGAGTTTGCGCACTGCTGCTGTGCCGCTGGGCTCACTTTTCTTTTTGGGGGGGGGCGAATTGTTGCGCAAAGGGTGGCCTGTTGCAACGGGTCCAGAACGGGGGGGATTTGTCATGTCCTCTCAAAGGAGCAGATCTGTTTTTCCGGATGGGGCCAAGGCCCAAGGAATCAACATCCAGGCCTTTGGTTGGGCGCTTCTCAAGGAATCAAAGGGCAGCCGGTTTTGCCGACGAGTCTGGGCAGATGGGTGTGGAGGGCTGGCTGCAAGCTGAAAGGTGAGAGAAGTCCCAGATTTGCAAGGCTACCCTTGCTACCCGGAATTGCTGGATTGGTGGTTTGGATTTGGATTTGAAGCCCTGGCTTTCGTAGATAAGGGCAAAACAGTGTTCAAAGCCAGCAACCCCCCCACTACCAAGGGCAACTCACCTGAGAAGGGTCAAAAAGGTGCTGTTTAGAACCACGAAATTGACTTCAGAGTTAGCTCCTTTTTTATGTTTTGTGTTTGCTTCTTTGAGGTCCCTTTGTTTTCCACTAACCCGGCAAAAAAAATATTTGTTTGCCGGGGTTCTAATTCCAGCCTAAGGAAAACCACTCAGGCCCTTGAATCAGACTTGCCCAGGACCCGGAGACCTTCTGCTGGGGCTTCATAGATACTTGGCAGCGGGATGACTGCTGCAAGCACATGGAGGAGTGACGGCCGCAAGCAGATCGACAGCCATGGAACCCCCACATTTCTTCGAGAAATGACTTCTCCATGACTCATAGGGCAACAGCCATAGGTGTCCTTTTTGGTTGACTTGGTTTAACAATAGAGGGCCCTGGTTTACCTGGTGGTTCAATCAACTACCAGGGCCATCTATCTTCCGACAAAGGACACCTATGGCAACTGCTGGTATTTGCAAAAAACGATGGTTGCCTTGCTAGTTTTTAGTTTTGATTTTCACAGTTTAGGAATGAACCTAGGGATCCCCTCAAAAGACACTACCAGGGATGACTCATATGGATGGACGACATACTGCACCCGGGATCATTCCTCATTCTTTGCCTATCGAACCGGCAAGTTGAAAAGGATTCGGATCACGAGAGGTCGACATTTCTGGGAACGCTGTTTGGGTGTGGCTCAAAACTGAAGCGCTTTAACCCACTTCCCAGGGTGACAAATTGCGGGGCCTATGTTTGAGCTATAGCTTTTCGCGTCTCCGTCCACAACTATGACAGGCCGCCCAAGGGGTCTTCATAGTTTTGCCGGCGGCTTTTACATCGCATGCTTCAAGTTTGATGTTCGATTCGCCAGGTCCGAGAATTGAAGCTTCGAACCACGTTCGAAAGGCATGGAATTTGTTGGCCCGGAAAGAACCAATGTGTTCGGTGGCATCCACGATTTCTCCTCGTTTTTGGACTTCCCAGTCTTGGAAAGGGTTTCTTTTTTGCTACCCGCTGAACAACTCGAGGATCAACACTGCACTGCGCAAGGGTTGTTCTTTGTTCTTTGGGGGTGGGTCGTGAAGCAGGGCTGCTCCTGACCAAACCTCCCGGGGTTCGGACAAGCAAGGTGTGCTTCGAGCAGTCCTTTATCGTACCGAGTCATGCTGTGGATGGTTGCGAAATCCGTTCGCACTACTTAGAAACCAAGGGAAACCATTGTTTGTTGGTATTTAGGGTGAATGGATTCGAGGGAAATCATTCCAGGGTCTCTTAGGTGCGAAATGGATTTCGCCACCGTCCACACCACTCGTTGGCTTTCCCCTTGCCATGTTCTACGTGCCAAGGACTTGGCAACAGAGTGCTGGCCGGGTGATCCGAGTCCTGTCCTTCCCAAACCCTCCAAAAAGGGGCGGCTTTCTGGGCATCGAGTGCAAAACAGGGTTGAGATATATCCCTTGCCGGTAAACAAGGTTCTATGGGTTCGTGAATCTGAAGGGGAAGCTTCTGTTGAGACGCCCTCACCCCCTCGATGTTCGACCCAACCTGCCACAGGCCGAACGCTTTTGTTCCAAACCGGGTGATACACCCAAAAACGGGGGCCAAAAGAATTGCTCATAGTTTACTAGAGCCCCTAGTAGTCCCCCTTTTACCCTTTTTTTTGGGGAGGGTTCCCCTACGAAAATAGACTATAGAAAAAGTTGGCACCCATCTTCTATCCCCTCTACTGGAGGACCTAGTTTACCCTGATACACATGACCTGCGGTTTTTTCAAGTGCCCCATACCCCCCCCTGATTCCACAACGGGCCCGTCCCTGCTCTCCCGCCCGTGCCCGTAGGCCGAAGGGTCGCTTCGCCAGGACCGGTGCCCCAGGGACTCCAAGCTGGTGCGGCGCCACAGCCAGCGCTGGCGCCGGGATCCCTCGGGGCCCAACGGCACCGCGCGCTACAGGCGCGGAGCTCGGGGAGCTGGGCGCGGAGTTCCGATGCGCGGGGTTCACCGCGGAAGGTCCGTTGGAAGGTGTTTTTGTTTTTTGAGTTGGTACCCTCCCTCCCAGTAACATGGCACCTGACAGGAGGTCCCCTGAAGAGGAAATTGATCTTCCAGGTATCCTACCACAAATGCCATGTTAGTGGGAGGAAGGGTACCCCTTTTTGGTCTGTGTTTTCAGGGGAATCTGGGGCTTGACAGCGGTTTCCGGGGTTGGTTCCTTTGGATACGGCTCACTTTATGGAAAATACACATATTGCCTTTGAGGAAGCAGTAGGAATGTGTTGATTTTGAGATGTCTGTTTTTGAGGGCGCCCCTTTTTGGTCTGTGAAAAAACACAAAACAAAAACAAACAACAGCAGGAAAATCACATTTTTGGGGGCGTCCATTTGGGGCTTGAAATATGTATGGCTGTGGGTTATAACTCCATGGTTATTACCCACTTACTAAGTACCCTGCCCCTTTTAAGTGTTGGGGTTGTCTACAAGGGAACACCGGGGCAAAGCGCTTTCTTTGTTTTGTGGGGACGGGGAGACAAACGGCGGCCGGGAGCCTCGGAAAGCCACCGCCCGAAAGCTGGTGCCGTTCCTCGAAACCCTGGCATTTGATTCCCCTCTGTATCAACAACTAGGTCCCCCAGCCAGGTGCCCTTACTCACCACTTTTTTGGTTGGGAGGGTTCCCCTACTAAAATCGACTACAGAAAAAAGTTGGTACCAACTTATTCTAACCTCTCTACTGGAGGAGCTAGACAAACGTTTAGGTTTCAAGCATGGTTTCAAAGTGGGGCGATTTCTGGATTTCTTTGCCATCCACAGTATGGCTGACAGCGTTTGGGAGAACTTCCCCAAGTGTCTGGGGTCGCGTTCAGTTGAAGCCATTTACACACGCTGTTTTGCTTGGGAAACCCACAAGAAGCCAAAAGAGATCCACAAAGGAACCCACCCAGCTGCGTGGCTGTGTCCTTGTATCACAGAATGGGGGACTTGTCACAGCCAGCAGCAAACAAGAAGAAAGCCAAGAGGACATCAAAGGAAGAGACAGAAAGGCCATCCCCTTAGCTTTTTAGCTTTTTAGTGTTTAGTGCTTGGTTTTCCGAATTTAGCCCACTAAAAGTGAGTCACTTTTCGCGGGGGATCTGAAAACGGACAGCTCAGAAAAGGACATCACGAAGGGACCGGAAGCCACAACTTCCACTTGCTTAAGCATATTTGTTATTTTCCCTTGTTGGTTTTAAAAGGACTTTAACACTACTGGACATATTTTCTCATTTTTCCCAGGGGTCTTAACCAAATGGAAGCCACAACGACCATCAAACCGTCCATGTGCTGAAGCCCCCTGGAAAACGAAAACATATGTCCAGTAGCGACCTCGATTCATCTTACGCCACAAAGGACCCCATCCAAACGGGTACTCGACTCGAAGGCACGGGGAAAGCACTTGGACTTTGGAGCAGCTTCTGAACTGCGACCACCTGCCGCCCTGGAAGCAGCCGCTCGGTTGACCAAAGAAACTGGAGGTTGGGACAGAAAAACACATGGGCGTGTTTCTTGTTTTGTCCATTTGCGTTATCAGAACATGTTGTATATATTTCTTCCCTTGTTTCTAGGGGTACCTTCCATTTGAATTCTTTCCTGGGATCCAGATGTTTCTATAAGACTCCGACAACCCAGGGAAAACGGTCGGTTTTTGGACAGGACGACAAAAGAATGGGGAAGCAACCCCTAGAGTTGTTTATTTGTTCCCTTGTCGGTTTTGAAGGGAATCGAGGTCGCTACTGGACGTATGTTTACTTTTTCCAGGGGGCTTCAGCACATGGGCGTTTTGATGGTCTTGTTGGGTTGGTTTAAAGGGAAGCCAAAAGGAAACCGACCATTTGGAGGTTCTCCTGCTTTGGCAACGTGGAGGGATTCATTTTTTAGAACGGGAAAGTGTTACAATTCGATTTGCCTCGAAGTTTGTTTTCCATATGGCCCTTGGTTGCCAATTTGGCATGTTCTTTTGGGTGCGGCTTGAAGGGAGCCCCGATGAAAAACAGATGTGCGGAGAATTCAATCAGCAAAATGAAGACGGACTGATCGCAGAACACCAGAGTTTGGCTATGATTGGTTTGTACACTTGCTGACCCCCTAGCAAGGTTGTAACCTTTTTTCACAACTTGGGTTGTTCAAGGAAATCCTGAATGTTTGTTTTGGGCTACGTAAGGGGTCCCTTTCCAGTCATCGTCTCATAATCGGTATGCATGTGGTTGGTATGGGATTTTGGCCCAGATAGGCTCCTGAGTGGTTTGGGTCAGCTTTCAGGAGGGTTTCGGGGAGGGTCCAGGGGGGTTCGGGCTGGAGATACTACCTGGGCTGAGTTTTTGTTTCATTTTGGTTGGGTGCCAAAAGCAAGGCTTTTTGCTCACCTGCCACGGAAAGGATAGCTCATTGGCGCTCGCTTTGTTGGTCCTTTTGCTGCCTGCAAGAGGTGTCCAACCAGGACATACACAGCCCCATGTGTTTTACCACTTCTCAAAGTCAGTCGCTAAGTGGTTGTGAGTTCTTGTCCTCAGGTTCCGACAGCAGCTTCAGACACACGGCACAAAGCTGCGGAAGGAGGGAAAGGGGGGGTCTTGGGAGGCTTGGTGACTCGACACTCCAAATCGTGTTGAAGTTATACGTATGACCGTCAACCACAGGCGGCTTTTTAATAGACCGACCACTTTCCCCGGGCCGGGCAAATGAAGCCCGTATCTGCGTTCAGGCTATGAAGGAGAACCAGGTTTGCAAAATGATTTTTAGCTCCTTGCGTTTTTTTCCTTACGTGCCGAGAAAAAAAAAAGCGCTCACGCTCGAGATTTCAACTCTTGGATCTAATCCGTTGGCTTCTGAGCGTGGGTCAGGCGTCGAACACTTTCCACGTACCATCCCAGAAATGGGTGCTTTAAGTGTTTTTTTTTTTTTTGCGGGGCCCCTAGAAGAAGATAGACCCAACTTTTTGCCCATATGCAGAAGGTGGGTGAGGGGGGGTCTTTGGGGTCTGTGGGGTCTGTGGATTTGTGCCATGGACCCGAGCAAGAAAGACCCACGTCAAGCATTCTGAATTCGTGGCCCCCACAAGTGTCGTAACAGATTCCTTGAGATATGCAAAAGGGCGACCCGACATCCACTGACACGCATTCCATCAAACCCGGGGACCTCGATCTCGTCCGAACTGTCCAGTGCCTAGTTGGGGTTGCTCAGAGCCTCCAAAGATGGGGTCTCATCGAACTAGGCATCAGTCCATTTCTGAAAATGATTGGGGCTGGCGTCCAGTTTGGTTTTCGTGAAGAAAACCAAACAGAAGGAGGATCCATCACTTTGAGAGACGGTGAAACATGGGTCTGGCGGCGAAAAAAGAACCTCGACGGGGTCGCATGGGCGCGGAAACCAGGTGGCACAGGACCCGTGGCTGCTGGAGTTTGCGAGATCAGCACTCCGAGACCACAACCTCAGCGTAGGCACGCAGATTTGGAGGAGGGGGGACGGGTGGGGTTTGGGTGGAGGCTGGGGGTCTATTTTGAAGCCTCCTTCTTGTGGGTAGTGGTTTGGTAGGGTTCGTGGTTGCAAAATCGACTCTAGGTGTCCATGCCGGGGGGGTGGGATTCGTTGGGGGCCCGGGGGTGGGGGGGAGTTCGTTGGGCCCTACAATGGGAATCTTGGAAATAAATAAAGCTGCATGGTCCCCTTTTAGTCGGGATTCATCACTTTTGGAGGCGAACACCTCCCTGGTACGAATGGGCCGGGTGTTGGGCCTTTTGTCATTGGGCAATTCTAGATTTCCTGCCCTGATTCATGCGAAACTGCCGGGAAGCACCCACATTTCTGAGCTTTCCTACATGTTTGCCCACGTGAAGAAGCGGGTGCTTCTCAAAACGGAAGTGGGCGGCAGAACAGTCAAGTGCGGTACAGAAGTTCTAAGCCTCCTTCGGGACACAGGTAGTTCAATGGGTGAAGTGGGTGGGAAACCAAGGGCTGGAGGTGAAAGGTTTGAATGCTGGAGGCTTATGTCGGACCCTGAAAGGAAATCAATCGCTTTGTGATAATGACTAACTCGAGTTCTTTGGCTCGAGTCACTGTTTGCATCTGGCCGATCTGACCATTTTAGTGGCAAGCTTGGACATGTTCCGGATCTACGCGAAAAAACGAAGTGAGGACAGTGATTTGTAGACAGCTGCGTGACTTTTATGTTCCGCCCTGCCCCGTCCAGGTGCCAAAACCCTTGTTATGTTGTGTGCTGTTTGATGGTGTTTTCAACGGACGCCCGTGGTTTTGTTCGCGTTTCCGGCTTTTCTTCGGACCCACAAAGAAGTCTGCATGGGTTTTGGGGTTCACATTAAACTCCCAAGGTTGCTTGCCTTAGGGGTTTGAGGTTTGATCAGGTACCCCTTAGTTGGTGGCTTGGATTTGCGGTTTGGGGATTTGCACCCCCTCTGGAGACCAAATGTGAATCACCAATCCAAAGCTCCAAACCACCAATCTAAAGCTCCAAACCACCCATTTCATTTTATGTTTTTATATGTATTTTTTGGGGCTGAGTTGCTTTTTTGGTTCCGGGTCTTTGGGCCCGGATCTTCGATCTTCAGGCGAGGGCATGTTCTCGGTGGCCAGCGTCGCGCCGGGCCCAGCGGGCTTTTGGCCAAAAGCGGGCGCTGGCTCGTTTGGGTCTGTGGAACGTGGGGCAAACATGGGGTAAACCGGTAAACGCAAGGAGCCCTGGTAAATAGAGCCAAGGAGCTAAAACTCCTACGGTTCCCAAGAGCTTTGGCCCCCTTTTCGAAGGCGCGGCGGGCGGGGCTGGATGGAATTTTTTGCCTCTCAGGTGCACCTGCGGGTCATCTCGCGGCTGGGCTTCTTGGAGGTGCTGCCGGCGCCAGAGGAGTCTCCGCCTCGGTCCATTGGAGAAGTTTTGAAGCGGACGTGGCGGGCCTTTTGTTCCTTGCCCAATGGGCACTGGGTTCCTGAGATATGTCGGAAGGGGAGAAGTCTCAGCAGAAGGCAGCAAGGGGCGGAACAGGGCGCCAATTCTTTCTAGGTCCCCCAGGTAGGTGCCCCTTCTCACCCCTTTGTTGGTTGGGAGGGTTCCCCTACTAAAGTAGACCGCGGAAAAAAGAAACGGTACCCTTATACAAACCTCTCTACTGGAGGAACTGGTTGGGCAGAGAGGGAAAGCCTTTGAAGGGGGCGGAAGCAGGTCCAAGGCTTCGTTTTTTTTTTTGAGGGGGTCCAAGGCTTCCTTTCTTGTTCTTCTTTGTTGGGGAGGGTCCTTTTGGTTGACCTGTTCAGTAAATGAGTTCCCTTTGCGCTTGGGTTCCGACATGGTCGAACCTGAAACGGGCTCCCTGTTGCCACCTGTGTCAGGCTGATGTCGTGCTGTCAGCTTCCGTCTCCATTTGCTCTGGGGGTATGTGACGATCCAATGCGGTGATTGAGTTATTGGAAGCCCTCTTGGATCCAAGCGAGGTCGCAAATTTTAACACCTCCGGCTCAGGCCGCCGACATTACAGGCCTGCTTTCTGATTTGCGTCCCTTTGGAATTGTCCCCTTGCCCCCCTTCCCCTCTAAGATCTTCTCCCCCCCGTCTGTTGGGATCCTTTCCCCCCTTTCCCCCCTAAGGCCTTTTCCACCCCTAAGATCTTCTCCCTTTTCCCCCCCTAAGATCTTTGCCCCCCCCCCCCCCGCCCCCCCAAGATCTTTGCCCCCCTTTCCCCCCTTCCCCTCTAAGATCTTTCCCCCACCTTCCCCCCCTTATAATGTTTGTCCCCCCCTTCACCCCCGAAGATCGTTTCCCCCTCCCCCCCTTATAACATCTTTTCCCCCTTCCCCCCTAAGATATTTTCCACCCTTTCCCCGCCCTAACCCTCCTAGCATCTGTTCCACTCTTTCTCCTCCAAGATCTTCCCCCCCCCCCTTATAACATCTTTTCCCCCCTTTCACCCCCTAAGATTGTTTCCCGCCTTTTCCCCCCCCTGAAGATCTTTTCCCCTCCTTTCTCCTCCTAACATATCTTTCCCCCTTTCTCCCTAAACCCCCTTATAAGATCTTTTCCCCCTTTGCCCTCCTAAGATCTCCCTTTTCCCCCGTAAGATCTTTTGCCACCTTTTCTCCCTAAGATCTTTCCCTCCCTCCCCCCCCTAATCGTTTCGTTTCCCCGCTTTTCCCCTCCAAAGATCCGCTCCCCACTTTTCCCCCTAAGATCTTTGTGAGCCTCAAGATCTGTTCCCCCTCCCCCTCGCTTAAAGATCTTTTGCCTGCTTTGTCCTCCTAAGATCTCTTCCCCTCTTTCCCCCTCTTCCCACCTAAGATCTTTTCCCCCTTCCCCCCCTTGTAAGATCTTTTCCTTTGCCCCGTTTGCCGCCTAAGATCTTCTCCCCCCCCCCCCCCCGCAATAGTTTGAAACCATGCCCTGAAGAGGGATAAGGGGAGGGGTAACAGGTAAAGAGGTAAGGAGCATTTCTTATGTCCAACGCGCTGTCTGTTGTCGGCGGCTTTTAACCCAGAACATGGCCCAGATGTCCAGCATAGTTTCTTCTTGGCGCAGCCCCAATTTGGGGGCAGGGTTCTCTTGGGTTCCCGTTGAAAACAACAAGGATTTGGGGCAAACGACCGCAAACCCATGAAGGTAAAAATAGGATAGTCACAGATGAGGTTCAGTTAAACCATCTCACATGGGCTGGGGGGTGCTGAATGGTCACGTCAGTACTTCAAAGTATCCTGGCCCTTTAAGACCGCGCGATATCCCGAGAAACCCCGCGACCGCGGAGCCGAAAAAGCGGTCAGCTGTCGGGGAAAGGCGATTTCTACATCCTTGTTTTGTTTCCTTCACTGCCCCAAAAGAAATGGAAGTGAAAGGTTCGCCTTTTGGGACCTTGACCAATGAAAGCAGGACCAATAAAAAAAAAAAACACCAGGCAGGTTGATCAAGAGTTTGGGTCCGAAACCGAAAGGGTGCGGGCCCTGTGATGTTGACCTCTGATGAATCCGGACCCTAGTGAGAAGGAGGGGCTCCGAAAATTGATCTGTTTTCCTACCGTCCTTTGCACATTCACATGATTTTCTTCAAGGGAAAGTCCTCTGTCTCAGGTAAACCGAAGCTTTCGGAATGCAAATCAATTTGCTGGTTCGCCGGGAATGGGGAGGAGTCGGGAGTGAACCTATCCAGAAGTCCTGCACCACTTTAGAAAGCTTCCTCTCCCCTTTAGAGCCCGACAGTCTGCAGGGATGAGCGGGGGGGGGGTGGGGGGAAATGGTTGGAAAGCCGAAGGCCTTTCGCCTGTTCAATTAAGGTTTTGTTTGCGGTTGTTTCCACCAAAAGCATGCTCGCGCCCGCGCCTTGTCTGGCTCCAAGTTCAATTTGAGTCAACAGCTGCTGCGAAATTATGCACTCACGCGCTCGGCAATCGAACGATTTATCAAGTGTGCCCCGAGCCCTACTCGAAGCATTGCGCTGTTAGCTGGCGATGAAAGAACAGCGAAAAGAATTAAATTGCGACAGAGCGCGGGAGATGGAAAAGAGAGAAAGAGAAAAAGAAACAGAGAGACAGAGAGAGAAAAAGAACAAAGACTGATTCTTTTCAATTTGCCCTAGTCAAGTTAGCACTTGCGCCCCTTAGCGTGGCATGTTTATTTTGATCTTTGTGTGCCAAACAGGGGAGTCGTCCAAATCACATTTTGAGAAACACTCATATGGGTGGCTCGTGTTTTTTTTGGGAGTTGGCGCCTTCATTTTCGTAGTTTTAGAGGGAAGCCAACAGGAAAGCCGCATTTTGTGTGTGTCGAACTTCGAGCCGCCAACGTGAGAGCGAAGCTGGCAGCAGCATCGGCCATGCGGCCCAGGATCTTCTGCTTCTCGGGCTACGTGTCTGCGGCCTTCGTTCTGGCCATGGCCACGCAGGAATTCCGACGGGGCCCCTCGGAGTCCGGCCTTCTGTATTTGGGGACGGATTGCGCATCAGGGGTGGTCTATTTTCATCGCAAAACAACGGTTTCCGTGCGCCAATCTGAGCATAGGATCCTCTGTGTGCGAATGGCGAGGGGCCACAGTGGAAGGGACTCTTCGACGGGTCCCTTGCCAGACCTAGTTACCTGGAATGCGTCCTTGATTTGGTGTCCACATGTCCCGGTCGCATTTTGGTCGTGATGTCGGTTGGTGGCCCAGACTGTCCTGGTGTCCTGCCTTCCCGGTAATATCTCTGGTGTGCCGGTAGCGCTGCCGGTGGCGCAGTCAATCAGGCAAAGTCAATTGAGTCACTGTGATAATTGCTGCAATTGATCGACCAACTGTTTTGCTTTTGTTACCAAGCCACGCAAGAAGTGAGACATGATGAACATGCTGCTTCTGACATCATGAGCGGTATTCCGCAGCCTCCTGCTATTTGTTGCCGCCCTTGTGGTAGACCTGGGCCCACGATTTCGCTGTGGAAAACAAGGCCCATCTGATATTTGACACATCCGATATTCGAGACCCACATGAATTAACTCCGTACTCGGGGCTTGGATTAGTGTGGGAGTAGAAGTTCTGCTGGAGTCATCTACTTTTATGATTGTGGGACAATATTGGCTTTAGGTTGCCACTTTCTGGGAGCCACCGATGTGCGATGATGGTGAATGAGCACTTAGATGAAGGGGTCGCCATTTGGAAGGAACCGACAACTTTGAATATCTGTTCCTAGAGACACAGCATGTTCGGGTGATTGACGGGTGTGCCTTTTGTGAGACCCCCCGTTGGTCACATATTTTGGTATCAGGAGAGCTTGCGATCTTGGATTTCTGGCAGGTTGGTTTGGTGGTTGTGGAAATCAGGCAGCATTTCAGGTTTTGGTGGTTTTGTGTAGCTTAGGATGCCTAGGTTGAGGTTGGTTTGGGTTGTCTGGTTGGAAAGCTTCTGCAATACCAAGTTGGAATCACCAAAGTGACAATAGTTCGTCATGGGAATGGATTCGAGTCATTTCGGCACAGGTATATATAGAGCTGATTTCACCATGTTGGTGGTCGCCTCGTAGGCTGCGCCCAGTTTGCTGAATCCTCCAGGGATCCTTCTTTTCTGGAAGTGGCATGTTGCTCAAAGAGGGGGTGTCTTTGGGCGCACTTCACCTTGAGGGCACCTGTTTGGGCTCCTGAAGATCCCGGAGGCTGTCTTTGTGCTTGAACTTGTAAAATGGATGATGTGTCAACGCCACGGGCTCTCTCCAAAAACGGGGGGGGGGGGGGTGAGCAACCCTTCTGTGCAGCCCGGATTGGCGGGGCCGCGCGATTTGTTTTCATTCAGGACCGACAGCTGGTGCGGCATGCCGCGAACTTGTTCACCGAGGTGAACACGCTGGACTGCTTCCAAAGTGCTTCAAGGCCCTACCATGGTTGTTGTTGGGAAACATTTCTTTTTTTGCTCCCCTTCCAACGTCAACCAAGCTACTGTGGATGGTGGTGCTTAGAGCGGCATCATCATTCCAGGGTTTCTTAGGTGGTGCGAGATGGATTTCGCAACCATCCACAGTAGGGCTTTTGAAAGGATACGTATGTCCAAGATGGGGCCTGCCCCCAAACCGCCACCCCCAAGGGAAACCATGGGTATACAACCACTGAATGAGCACTATGTAAAAAGTATGCCCAGATTTCTTTGGGCAATGCAGTGGTACCATCTTAGAGCTTGGGCCAGGGAATCAACGGCTCAACGGCTGGTTCGGACCAGAAAGGGATACTACCAGTTGGATGGTTTGCGGTGATCATTCCCTCATTCCTTGCCTATCCTTGGCGAGTTGGTCCTTGGTGGGAATCCCCAAGGCCCGTTAAAGAGATTCGGGGAACTTGGAGCAATCCAGCTTCTCAAAACGGTGGGGCGTCTGTTACACAGCAGGGAACCAAAAGGATTGCCAACCAGTAATCGAGGTCCGACTACTCACTTCCTGACTCGAGCAACTTTTCGAAGACCATCTTTCTTGCAAACATACTTCCGTTGGCTTACTCTGTTTTTGTTTTTGTTTTTGTTTTTTTTGAGACCAACCCACTCGATCGGAAGTGAGGCACCTAAGCCCTTCAGTTTTCAAAGGGCTTTCTTTCTGGGATTGCGCTCGGGGAATCGGGGGGATGGGTGGCTAGGACTTCGGGAAATTGCACTCGGGTGTACTCCCAGGTCTAGGACAACTTGTTCTATGCTCGCGGGATGCGCCGTGGGGGCCTCTTGAAAAATGGTGGACCCCTTTGGTTGGTTTACTTTTGGTTTCCCCCTGCCAATCCTCCAACAAAGGGGACGCCTATTTTGAGAGCCCCCCCTTTTATGTCCACTTCCTTCGGGCAAGTGAGGTTCCTTGCCCAATGTGTACTGGGTGGGTTCCTAAGATATGTCGGAAGGGGAGAAGTCTCAGCTGGAGAAGGCAGCAAGTGGGGAACAGGGCGCCAATTCTTTCTAGGTCCCCCAGGTAGGTGCCCCTTCTCACCCCTTTTGTGGGGGAGGGTTCCCCTACTAAAATAGCTGTACTGGAGGACCTGGCGCAGTGACGTCCAACTCCGAGAACTGGGTCCGACTAGAGTTGAGGAGAGAAAGAGGGGCTCAGGCTTTTGGACAATTGCCCGATTGGGCCTTTCCAGAAGCCAGAAGCCTGAGCCCTGAAGCTTTTCTTCAATTTTGTTCCAGAAGCCAGAAGTAGTCAAGGCCTTTCGGTGGTACTGCGGATACTTGCAAACTCCGAGCTGCCGTTTCGCGGAGCACGAAACGAAGCCGTGGAGTTGAAATGGTACCGTGGATGGACGCAATCCATTTCGCACTAGCTGAGAAACCCTGAAATGATGACTCCCCTGTAAATATCTACGAACAATGGCTTCCCATGGTCGTTGAGTGGTGCAGGAATTCGTCCATGCGCAGTAGGTGTCCCCTTTGTTGGAATCATTTTCAGCGGAAAACCACAAGCAAACCAACCACCAAAAGAGGGGTCCACCATTTTTAGAGACCCCCCAAATGGTCTGCCGTACTTACCTTGGGGAATCGGATAGTCAAGTGATTCCTTTGGGGCACTCGGCCCTCAGGAGCTCGACACCTCCTCCTCGAGCGCCTGGCCGGTGAGCGTTTGGGACCTCGCGCGGGCCCCGGCAAGAGAAGAACCTGCCGCCCAATTGCGCAAACTTTGGTGCATTTTGCTTGGTTGTTGGGACTTTAACTTTTTTGCCCATCAATGGGTTTTCCATTCAACCGCTAAACGTTAAACTTTTTGCAGGGGAGCAGAAAGCAACCGAGCAAAGGCTACAGGGTGGCTCGTCCTTTCGTTTTTAGAATTTGGACTCCCCAATGTGGGGAAGTTCGGTTTTCCTATGGCTAGAGTAAAGCAAACAGGGTACGTTCCAGGAAGGGACAGCCCCAAAAGAGGCCAAGTTCAAGGTGTCATCTAACTTCGTCCAAGGCCCTTGCAATTCAGCGCATCTGAGGGAACCGACCCAACCTTTTAGGCGGCGCTCACATGTCCTCCCCCCCCCCACCATGTTTTTTCCGCTTTGGCTATGCCCTATAGATGGTCAGAACACTCTCAAACATGTTTGGGTACGTAAGTCACCCAAAGTTGAACGGTGTGCTACGTTTCCCTCTGCTTTTTAAGCACCCGGAAATGGGGAACACCCTGGGATTTTAGGGTGTTACTCTCGAATCTGATTGCACACCCTCATTTTTGCCCCAACAAAATTAGACAGATCAACGAAGAAGCTCAAGCTCAAGCCTCCCACACTCCTCCCCCCTCCTCCCCCCTCCTCCCCCCTCCTCCCCCTCCCTCCCCCTCCTCCCCCTCCTCCCCCCCTCCTCCCCCTCCTCCCCCTCCTCCCCCTCCTCCCCCCTCCCTCCCCCTCCTCCCCCTCCTCCCCCTCCTCCCCCCCTCCTCCCCCCCCTCCCCCTCCTCCCCCTCCTCCCCCTCCTCCCCCCTCCCCCCCCCTCCTCCCCCTCCTCCCCCTCCTCCCCCCTCCTCCCCCCTCCTCCAAAAAATGGTAAAAGTAGGGGTCTGGGGGGTGGTCTGTTGATGGTCCCCTGTTATGTTTTTTATATTCATCTCAAACCTATTAACCACCTTATTCGTTTTTAAAAGAGGGTTTTTAGGGAGCTTATTTATCGTTTTCGTTAAGGTAATCATTTGGGTAAATTGTCGCCTTGTTCATTGTTGGGCTGGGGGCCGACATTTTTTTCATTTGAAAGAGGTAGCCCTTTTAGTAGTTATCAAGTTCTGAGGTGTTGGTGGTGTATTTGTTTTGTTAGTGTTTTTCTCACTAATTTTCATTTATAGGTTAAAAGTTCAGTATAATTATAACATATCATATTTTACATGTTATTATTATATTATGATTATAATTTCAGTTCAGGATAATAATCTAATTGGTTTGTCTTACTTCTTTCATACATCATTTTAAAAATAATATTAACATCTCTCACTGTATTCTGAACATTAAACTTTCTACTTTCAATAAATAATTTGATATTTTCTTTAACATCTTCTCCTTTCTCTTGACTATAACCCAACATCCATAATATATCATCAATCATTTTCATATTTTTCTTACTGATTTTAAGAAACTGTTTAACACAATCGTAAGGTGGTATTTTATTTACAGTTAGAAATATTAAAATATCATCTTCTACATTTCTATTATGTATTCTTTTTATTCCCAACAGACATTTGATTAAAAATTGATTATCTCTCCGAGTTTTACAACTTTTACATATGTCTTCTTCACCATCCATTGAATAATTAATAATATTATTCACTATTTCATTAGGTAAACTCAATTTATACAATTCCAAATTTTCTTTTTTGAAGTGACAACAATCATAGCATTTTTTATCGATATAATTATTGATTCCATCACCGTTCATTTTTCTCTTAATATATAAGGTAATATTTCTTTAAGTAGTTTTGGCTAGGGGGTTGCTGGTCAGCTGGTCTGGGTTTCAGGTTTAATTTAAATGTCTTAACCTTCTTGTTAGATTATAAAACAATGTTTAATCAAATTATAATTAAATATTATGATAAAGTCATGAAATCATTGTTTCTGTTATGTATAAATTTCAAATGTAATATGTTCTATAGTAATGATTTCGTTTCGTTTCATAGTCTGTTTTATTTCTTCAACTATTTTTTCAATATGAAATTGTAATGACGCTCTACTTGTTATCTTGTTCTGTTTGCTTGATGCATAATAACTACAGTTGCAAATATTATTCTTATACATAATTTTCGAACTAATTTCTATTCCAACCTTTATTTCTTCATCATACTTCACCATTCTTAATAATTCTTTTGGTGGTTTCAACGCATATGAAAGTGCTTTATCACCTTTCAAACATATATTGCTAATCAACACATAATATCTACTGTCTCCTTCTCGTTCAAAAATAGACGGTTTCCATTTCCTTTGTAAGACCCTTAATGCTTTACACTGTTTTAGTCTTTGCCACCCTTCATTGCCAAACATATAAGAAGCGATGTTTAACAATGCTTCCATAGGTAAGCTAGCACAATTCTCAACCATAAAATTATTATCTGACATTTTACCCTCACTCATTTTTTTCTCTTTATATATAAGGTTTTTTCTCTTTAAGTAGTTTTGGCTAGGGGTTGCTGGTCGGCTGGTCTGGGTTTCAGGTTTAATTTAAATGTCTTAACCTTCTTGTTAGATTATAAAACAATGTTTAATCATATTATAAGATAATAATATTAATAAACAAAAGTTAATTTTACCCGTATTCAATCTCACCAGCGATACAACCACTATAACAACTCATACTATACTCGCAATAATAATGCTCGTATCCTTTTATTAATTGGTCTGTGTAAATTTCAATTAATTCGCTAAGAATATATCTCATACAATAATTGTTGTTTCTATATGACCACCAACTGTTTAGGTTTGGAAAGCTAAACCCACAACGTTTAATTTTTTTTAAAGCTTCAATGTCAACACATTTTCTTAAAATGATACAAACTTCATTTTCATTATTCTTACAGTATGATTTTAATGCTTGATAATACATTTTTCTATTTTTAAACCGTTCTTTAACTTCTTGTATATCAAATACTCGGTCAATGTGTTTTCTGTAATGTCTTATTTTTATACTATATTGGTTTTCTGCTAGTAGTGTAAAAACATTATTTTGCATTAGTTTAATAACTTGTAATTGAAGTTCTGCTTTTTCCAGTCCTTCTTCAGGAATGTCTTTATCTCTCATAAAATGTTCTTCTTCAACCATCAAATACCAGCAGTCAACACATGTTACTCTAACATAACCACCTATAAGATTACAAACATCAACAGGTAAAATATTAGCTAGTGCCACGACAGACTTCCATTTTTTATTTTTACAAGGACAATTATCATAATTAAACAGTGTCATTTTTTTTCTCTTACTATATTATATCCATTTTTCTTTAAGTAGTTTTTATTTTATGTTAAGGGGTGGGGGTTTATATTGAAAAAATATTTTCTATCAATTTAATATAATGGCGAGATTAACAAAAGACCAAATAATCAGCAACATCTATTACGACTTAGACGAGGGTTTCGGAAGCACACAAGCGACACACAAGAAGGCAAAGGAAGAAGACCCAACAATAACAATAGACGATGTAAAGTCTTTCTTAAAGAAACAACCAAATAAACAAATCAAAAGTTATAGAGGTACTAATTCCTATACCGCTCCATTCGCACGATATGAATATCAAATAGACATAATGCATATGTCACCTTTAGCAAAAGACAAGAACTTTCCACAGTATGCTTTAGTCGTGATTGACATCTTCAGTAAATTAGCAGATGTAATACCGATGGAGGAAAGACGGAGAGCACGTTTTGAAGGCGTTGAGAGCAAGCTTGAAAAAGATGGGTTATCCGATGTCCGTGTATTCTGATGACGACGGAGCGTTTGCAACTAAAAATCAAGTTCAGGATTTCTTCAACAGTGAAGGAATAACCACATCGTCACGTAGACCCACGCAAATGTGGCCGAGCGTTTTATTAGAACGATGAAAAACAAAATTCACGATAGAGTTAGGTTTAACAACATGAAATGGACCGACGCCCTAACGCAAGCATTGAAACAGTATAACAGCACATCTCACTCATCAACAAGGATGGCACCGTCTGAAGCACACAAGGACGACAATGAAATAAATGTAAAGGTCAATCTTAAACTACGAGAAAAAAACAAAAGAAAGTATCCCAAAATAGAGGAGAACGACAAGGTAAAAGTGTTCCAAAAGAAAAGGGGTAATTACACCGACAGAAAGGAGTATAACTCTAAATGGTCTAATAAAATATTCAATATTGATAAAATTGAATATGATATTATGGGTAATAAAACTTACAAAGTAGCAGGAATAAACAAACCGCTTTTGAGACACGAAATTTTGTTAGTTAATGATTAAACGTATTTCTTGGTATCTTCTTTATACTTGACTTGATAGTAATCCAGACTTGATTGTTTAGGTTCTTTTATGATTTTTTCATTCAGTTTTTTAACATAAATGTTTCGTTTATTTTTGTATTCGCTACTGTCTCTATCTACTTCTTTTGCTTGATAATTGTTATTGTTATTATATGTAGGTTTAATATTCATGCTCTTTAAGATGTTCAGTATGTTTTCATTTTGCTCCAACACTTTTTCTAATCTTGGAAACAACAACTCTAAACTACTGTCAATGTTCGCTAAATGTTCTTCCATATATACTAAATTATAAAACTAAACTTTTAAAACTAAATGTTGCAATTATGTTAAATCTACTCTTTAAATACTAATTTTTCATTATTTGTTTAACAGTTTCCTGAGTTTCCTTATCACCATTATCGGATGGAGTAACTCCCCTCCCAAAGCGAATAGCAATATTATGAACATCTGTTTCTAAGTTGATACTGTCTTTAGTTTTATCAATATTCATTTTCTTATCATTTTTACTTATTTTGAAACTTGTTGGAATACACGAACATTTACAGTTTCCTTTCTTTTGTATTTCTAATTCATTTTTCATTTCTAACATCTTTTTACACATTGGACAAGCAAACTCAATAACTGATGTTTCTTTAACAATTTCTTCTTTTTCTTCATCAGT